CTCATAAAATCCCAAACAGAGTAATATTAATCATAAGTGTACGGGGTGCTATGCCACATCTGAGCTGGAGAACTCAGATGCACAGGCTAAACTAACTAATATCCTCAATACATCATTATGGCACGCAGGCCGAAGAGAAAGACTATCTATCTAATCTGCGATCTTCTAGCGCACTCTGGGATCTACTCATCGGTGCCTGAAAGCCAAATATATCTGTTCAGCAAGAGATGCCAGTAACCCACTCCAACGCGTTGAAATACATTATAGATAGTTATATATAGATATACGAAAATCATTTTGAAGCAGGAAGATATACACTTAAGAGATACTAGTTTTAAAACCAAGAATAGACTCGACAAATAGGGATAAGCACATTCAACAGTTATAATAAAGCATATAAAGATACTAGCATGTATCCTATGGTCACGGATTCACTTCATCCCATTCATATCATCATTCAATTCGTATCTCATCACACAAGCATACTTTGGTGGCGTCACAAGACCAATCGCATGCCCATACATGAGGGTCAGCGCATATAGCTCTGGCACGGCCCCGCAGCACCTTGCCTCGTATCGCAATACGAAGGGGTCGATCGCAACCGACCGATGAACCGCAGCTCATCATAATGTTTGATCGCAACCAAACAGTGGACCGCAGCCCAAGAGTGATCATCTGACCGCAGCCAGGAATATGAACCGCAGCTCATGTAAAACGTTTGATCGCAACCAAACGGTGGACCGCAGCCCAAAAGTGATCATCTGACCGCAGCCAGGAATATGAACCGCAGCTCATCTAAAACGTTTGATCGCAACCAAACGGTGGACCGCAGCCCGAGGGTGTAATTCTGACCGCAGCCAGCTTCTGAACCGCAGCTCAGGAATAACCAATTTGATCGCAACCAAATTGGGGTATCATGCACACATAACACATAGCAAGCACATGCAACTCATATTAGCACATTGGGAAAGGAGAGAAAACATATAAAGAAACCTATGCGTGGTCATCCACAAACTAGGAATAGTCCTAAGGGGTTCATACTTCTTTCACCTAGGCCAACGGGATACCAATTCAACTAGCATGCGATATATAAGACTCAATTATCCTACGAACGGTACCCGAAACATCAAACTAGACTTAGGCACGATAAACGGAGTCCGTTGGGACACCACGAGGGTCGGGGAAACATCAAACGGGGAAGCCGGAGTCCCGAGTTGGACAATTTCTAGCGGGTAGCCGGTGGATGGAGGACCACCCGCCGGCGACAAGTCTCCGGGCAGCGGGTGCCCGGCGGGCAGTCGCCTGCCCGCCGGCTGCCCGCTGCCGGCGACACCCTTCTCGGGCAGCGGGTAGGTGGCGGGTCCCCCTACCCCCACCTCCCCCCACTAACTCTTTATCAAAATAAACGTCCCGGGATCCGTTGTAGAACCCGAAACCATGCTTAGACACTTTTAAACGCAATTGATGACACCACGTAGGCAATTAACGGATCAAAAGCAAGAATCATATAGCACATATCCTATCATGACTTCTAAACATAATCAACACCCGAACATGTGAAATCCTTCCCAGTTATATCTAGAATAACACAATACGAAATTCCCAATTTTAACCTAGGGCTCTAATCATATTCAAATCAATAAAATCATAGTTCATCTTTTAATTGCCAAAACATCAAGATTCATCAAGAACATCACATAATCATCAAGAACATCTTATCATCATCAAGATCATCAAGATCACGCATAAAATCATCTCGCAATCATCAAGAACATATCATCAATATCATAAACGATTCATCAAGACACAAGTATGGAGAGGAGACCAAAGAAGATAATTATAGCAAGGAAAATAGGTTTTGTTGAGACATGGGTTACCTCATTCGCTTATTAATCCAAAACACCATCAACGGAACCTGTGAATGAAATCGGACTTTTCACTAAATAATCGAGCTATAAAATAATTAAACCCTAAGGGATTCGAACCCTAGATTTTCTCCTAACACCAACTATGTCTTACGCAACTAAGCTAACTCACCCATTATTAACCTAAAACCCAAATCAATCATCTACCCATCGTGTAAGTAATATAACCGTATTAAGCCTACGGAATAACAGTACAGTAGGGAGATTGGTACTAGTCGGCAAATCATCACCGTCCCTAAGCGTATTAATCGTCCCCATAATTATACCCAAAATATGATAAGCATATACAACCAACACATGCCAGCAAAGCCAAACCATTAGCCGAACCGGCGCCTTACCACTAGACTAAGCCCTCAATTGTTACTCCTTACCTAAATCTAATATTTAATAGCTATCCTGGCGTGAGTCTGTAACTTACCTTCATCTTCTTCCTCGATCTGTTTCGCCGAGGGACAGCGGTTGTCCCACGGGCGCACTTCCTCCTGCCGGCCACCCACGGCCTCCGTGCTAGTATGCTTGCTGGGGGGAGGAGGGTCGCCGTCGTAGCCGGAGGACGCTCGAAGGGGGAGAGCCACCGTCGCGTAAGTCCGCTGTCGCCGTTTGCACTGTATATCATCGTATCAAGGTCGTCCGTCTGTAATGGAGGGTTGAGGGAGAGGGGTTCATGGTTTAGAGCTTAGGGAAGGATTGGGGCTGGTGGTTGCCGCCATGGTGAGGGCGGTGGTGCGGTGAGGGTTTGCCGGTGTTGTCTGAGAGAGAGGGAGCGATATGTGAAGGGGGTGGGTGTTCGGAGGCCATGCCCTACGAATGTATTCTTTAAGCCCTTAGTATAAATACGTATACTAGGTATGATTAGGGTAGGAGTAGTATATACATGTATTTATATATATATATATATATATATATATATATATATATATATATATATATATATATATGTATGTATATGGATATATATACGTATACGAATAGGATTAAGGATACCACGGGTACATGGTCCTCTGTGGGTCACCTTAATCAATTAATGGAAATTAATTCCCTATTAACTGTTCTAGGCGTAATTAATTATATTATTAATTCCATGTCTGGAGATCGTAACACGGGGTGTTACAATCAAGAACCTCAATATCATCAAGAAATCTATATGCAAAGCCCTAAAAACAAGCCCTAACCTTGAATCAACACCCGAACATGCATAAACCCACCCAAGAACACCAAGAACATCACAACAACAAGATTTACAATATAAACCCTAAGGACAAGCTCTAAACATAATTAAATACGAGAACATACCAAGACCACACAGGGTCATCGAGAATATCAAGAATAACAATAATTAATATCACAAATTCCTAACGCCAATCTCTAACAAAGTACAAATACAAAATCATACATTCAATCGTTCAACAGAGCCAATCAATAAACGATAGCAATGAAAATAGGTTTTGTAAGACATGGGTTACCTTTTTAGCTTAATTAAACTTCTCACAACTTCCTAAGATCTTTCCTCAATCGATCATCCCTAAGCCCGGTGATGGGGAATTCTTTGACTATGTTCTTGGGAGAGGATTTCGTGTGGGGAGAGGGAGATATAGGTGATAGGGTTCTAATGCCTTCTAATTCCCCTATATATAGGTTAGGATCCCTAATACGAATCTGAATGAGTAAGGGGTTTAGGATTCCTAATACAAATCTGAAAAGGTAAAGGCTTAGGATTCCTAATATTAATCTAAAAAGGTAAATGGACCCTCCTTATTTTATCAAAAGCTACCGGGCTTTATTTCATATAAAGGTCCACGGTCCATCATGGACCGTATCAATAAATTAGGGATTTGGGTACTTAAAAAGTTTATAAAATAACTAACCAAAGCCCATAGTAACACATTCGGGTACATATATATATATATATATATATATATATATATATATATATATATATATATATATATATATATATTTAGCAAAATATTTAATTATAAGTAAATAGCTCTATTTGGTAAATATTTATAACTAATATAAATATTTAGTGAAACACGGGGTGTTACACTATCACTCCTAATACAAACTAAACAAGCTAGCTTCCTTGATCACTAAGCCGGACAGTTACTTGTGTAGGTTTTTCAACTCCTAGAGTTTACTCCGCCTCTATCAACGTCTTCTTCAGAGTTGAGGGTTGGAAAGAATTGATGATGTTCTCTAACTTGTGAAATCTTGACTCGGTGGTGCTTGAATCTTCAAATATAAGTTGCAAGATTTCCTTCTGTTGTGAAGAATTGAGGTTTAGATGATCTCTTTGAAAAATACTTCACAACAACACACTGGTTTTGAAAGCTTTTGGATGATACTTGTTAACAAAGCTTTTGTAGATAAAGATTAAGTGAAAAACAGCACCTTCTTCAGTGGTGAAGAGAGGTATTTATAGGAGAGGAAAATCCATCCTTTGGAGGGAGATGGGAATTTCAAACATATTCACCAGCGTGTAATATCCACTAAGTTCGGAGCATTTAATGCGGTTGTACTGTGTAGCCGTTGGCAACAAAAAGTTGTTTGTCTTTTTGTCCTTTCTCACTGACAAAGGTACAAATTATTTAATGCTCCTTGGTATTTGAAAGTTTCATTCCTAGGACACCATTTGTCCAGGATGATTCACCCAGCAAAGAGACTTAGACAAATATGCTTCTGATAGCATATGAATTATGTCTAATAAAGTCAGGCTTTTGACTTGTAGTCTCAGGTCATGCAATAACGAAAGATTGACCTTATCTTTCGTTAGACTCTTCATACATGAGAGATGAGCCCTTCCATAACTTTCAGTCACAATTGATCTCTCGGCCTTCTCTTGTTCTTCTCTTCTTCAAGTAGATCTAACTTAAAACAACTCTAATTCGTGTTAATGTGCTACTGAGCACGAATCACATGGTGAGTTATAACTACTTTCGTCTAACACGAAAGGTGCAAAATAACGAGAGTAAAAAGAGGGGTCTATATTCCTAGTTAGTTTGGTATCATCAAAATCTAAATAAACATCTTCCTAACAGATATAAATATAGATTTAGAAATAGTTATATTTATTACCGCTTTTGAAAATCACTTATCTCTTGACAATTTGCATCTACCACAATCTTGGTAGCATTCCATGTGTTAGATATTGAAACCTCATCTAAAGCAATAGAATAATGAGTGTAAAATATGAACACTACGAAACACAGAATATGTCAAAAATAGTAGAAAAAAAGTGAATACAGAATAGTAACTTACTGTTGTGCATTTTTGCACGACAAAACTGAATGAGTAAAACAACTGGATTAGGATTGTCATAGTTGACATGCTGTAATAGTTGATCAACATATTGCTCCCAACATGTTATACTGAAAGACTTTTGTAGAATGCATGAACAAGATCTTGTATTTGTGGTGCGTAGTTTTGTATCTCATGTTATTTGTTGCAACAATAAAGTTTTTAATGGAGTACAAATGACACTCAAAAAAGATTTTTTAAAATTCATCAACTTAAGCCTTTTTTATTGTTGCATGTATACGCGTACCCTAAATTAGCAAAAAGTAAAAATTTAATGGAAATCTATATTATAATAGAATATGAAATACATGAATATGTGTTACATAACAAACATATTAGCATGTGAATTATAAAACTAAAATTAAGAAAAATATATATTGGTATTGAATATATTATGAAATAATATATATATATATATATATATATATATATACTAAAAGATAATCTATATATATCTATACTAAAAGTGACGAATATACCTCAGAATCTTGAAACACACACTCTAAAGTATGAGAATTGTAGGTGTTATTATTGAATGTTGACTCGTACATTCGGATTAGACGAACTTGTATCGCCCAATTCGTGGAGGTAGCGGTGATTTGGTTAAGTAGATTGAAGGTGGGAGTCATATTGAAAAGTTGAAAAGTTTAGCGTATGAAAAGTACATGAAGAGGATTGGAAATGAATGAGAAGCAAGACCAATGAGGTATTTATAACTATGAATTTGTGGAAATGAATTACAAATGAATAATTTAATTTAATTATTTAATTATTTAATTATGAAATACTAAATACTAATACTAATAGCTATTGCATGATTCCCGTGCATAGTAACAGATGAATAATAATTGCCATGCATACTGAATACCATGAATTACACGTGCATAGTAATTATAGTAATAATAATTCGTTAAGGTTAATATGATGCATGATTCCGCGTTTCTATATGTGAATAATTTGTTTTGTAAGGCTAATTCGTTATTATAGTATAGTATTATAGAATTATTATTATTATTATTATTATTATTATTATTATTATTATTATTATTATTATTTTAATAAATAGTAATAGTAATAATAATTGGCTAATAGGATGATTCCGCGTTTCTGTGTTGTTATTAAGGTTGATTTTACGTTTGTATTAAAGATTGATTTAATTTAAATAATTTAATTAAGGATGATTGAATTTAATTTAGGATGATTTAATTTAATTAAGGATGATTATTTGCAACACTAAATATATAGGCTGATTTAATTAAGGATGATTTAATTTAATTAAGGATGATCTAATTTAATTAAGAATGATTATTTGTAATACTAATTATATTGGCTGATTTAATTTAAATAATTTAATTAAGGATGATTTAATTTAAATAATTTAATTTAATTAAAATAATATACTATAATAACGAATTATTATTACTCTAATAATTACTATAATAATAATAATAATAATAATAATAATAATAATAATAATAATAATAATATACTATAATAATTAATATTATATTCTTATTTTACTCATCATGTTAATTACATGCATTTATTTATAAATTGGCTAATTCATTATTATAGTATATTATTATTATTATTATTATTATTATTATTATTATTATTATTATTATTATTATTATTATTATTATTATTACAGTGAATAGTAATTATAGTAAAAATAATTTGTTAAGGCTAATAGGATGCATGATTCCGTGTTTCTCTATTTGAAAAATTCGTTCTGTATGTGAATTATTATTACTATAATAATTACTATAATATATATATATATATATATATATATATATATATATATATATATATATATATATATATATATATATATAAAATAATAGTAACTAATATTATATTCTTCTTTTAATCAACATGTTAAATTACATGAATCTATTTATAAATTAATATGAATACAATAAATGTTTTCACATTTCGATGGAATATTTTTGGGAATTACATGAATTTATTTATAAATTAATTAATATGAATACAATAAATGTTTTCACATTTGGAGGGAAAATTTTTTAGACAATTATTTTGCTTTAATATATATAGAGATATAGAGATTTCATATATTATTGCACATGGTATAATTAAAAATAATTATCAATAATAATTGACACAATCACATATAGTATATATAATAATATTCTGTGGTTGATACTAATATCGACTAAGATGATAAATTTTTTCTATAAATTTGGCCCCACAACCCCGACTTTCTGGCTCCGCCACTGGTCATAATGATGATATTTATTTATTTTTTTCCATTATACAATGCTATCTTTATATGATATTTTGTACGCGCATTGCCGGAATGCATTAATGTCCAAATATTTATATTTAAATAAATATTTGAAAGTATATCAACGCAAGATTATATAGGAGAAATTCATACATGGGTATCCAGGCCAGCTCCCTTGGAAAATTTATTGATAATATGAAAAAGTTTTAGTTGGATTTTGTTATGTTTGTTGGTAAATTTTTTACAATTATTTGAAAATATAAATTTTTCACAAAGAAAGAAGGGTTAATCATTGTGTTATATATATATATATATATATATATATATATATATATATATATATATATATATATATATATATATATATATATATATATATATATATATATATATATATATATATATATATTGTAATTTTTCTGTGCGATGCACGGACTTTTATTAATTGAATAAATTTACCAATTAAATTTTGACATCCTCTAAATTAGCAAAGAAAGTAATGGTTGTGGAAACAGAAAAACGTAAATAGTTCTTCAGCTCAGAATTAGTTTTACTAAAAATGTAAGTATAACTATACAATGTAATATTTAATATTTTTAAAAGTTTAATTATGTTATTATTATGTTGATTTTAAAGTTTATTGTTTGTTGGTCCCAAAAGAGGTAAGGTAAAAGTCGAGAGAGGGGGGGGGGGGGGGGATGAATAGACTTTTAAACTTTTTCGCACAGCACAAAAATTGCTAAGGCACAGAGAAACCAACACTCTTAACTAGATTGTTAGAGTATGGTACGCAGCGGAAATAAATAAAGCAAGTGTGTGTAGAGATTGTGTCAAGTATATCTCGTGAGAAGCAAGGAAGAAGCAGTAAGTAAAGAAAGCAGTAAAGAACACAAGACAATTATAGTGGTTCGGAGGTGGTGTAGTCATCCTACTCCACTTGCTCTTATCTCCAAGATCAATTCACTATATCCACCGCTACATGGTTCCTAGATACAATGAATTTTATGATCTAGTGCTTTGATCACCAAGCCCGCACTAATCATGCCCAGTGCCACCAAAACTGCTGCTTCGGGTTTCACGTATCCGCACTACTTTCCCAGGATTTCACGACTCGGCGTTATTTTCCCCCCGTCTTCTACGCTCCGGTAGAAACGCTCTTCCGTGATCTAGTGCTTTGATCACAAAGCCCACACTAATCACGCCTAGTGTCTCCGACACTGCTGCTTCGGATCTCACAGCTCCATGTGACAATCTAGGATTTCACAACTCCGTGTTACTTTCCTCCCTTCCTACACCCCCGTAGGAATATCACTTGTTCAAAGACAAGTTTTCTTCTTACTTCTAACTTCTGAGACTCTGTAGATGATCTTCAATATGCAGCAAGTCTCTTTGATGAAGATTAAACACTCCTGGATATCTCTTTGTAAGCTTTGAGTGTTTTTTCTCTCTTTGAATGTATCAAGTATAGCACTTGATATGTAGGCACTTGTTTAGCTCTGTTTTTCGAACTCTATAGATTTTTTTCTTTAAGCTCTCTGAGTTCTTTTTCTCACTTGAAGATTTTCAAATGTAGCTCTTTTTCTCTTATGCTCCCTACTCTTGTTCGTGAGTTCGTGTTGTAGCTCTGTCTTCAAGTCTTCATATCTTCATCCTTATATAGCTGGTAATGAGAATCTGCCCGTTGGAAAGAGACGATTACATTTTTGAATTCTTGTATCTTTTGTCAAAGATCTTATCTTATCTTCTGGCAAAGTATCAGAAAGATAATCTAGCTGTTTGTAGAGCTTCAACCTCATGTAAATGAGTTCCCAAACTTCATCTGATATTGCTCTGGCATTCTCACGTTTCTGGAAGTATCTGGGTCTCAATATCATGTAGAACGGCTTCTCTGATCTGCGCTGTAGTGGTTCTTGGTTCTTTGGGATTAAAATACTTCAAAAATATTCTTCAATTTAATCCCATAATAGTTCTCTGATCTGCTCTGTAGTGGTTCCTGTTTCTTTGGGATTTAAATACTTCAAAAATATTCTTCAACTCAACTAGTTCAGAGCACATTAGTTCCCTAACAACTCAACTATTAACACCTCTTCAGAAAATCCTTCATCTAGTGGATGCAGTTTAGATATGTGGTCCTTATCAGGTGCATCCAATCACTCTGGACAGTAGACTGTTACTAATTTAGGGTCATTCATAACCTTCTAAAAAGATTATGAGTAGGAGAAGTTACTAATGACCAGGATATTTCTTATTGAATACACGTGACCTACCTTTAGCATAGCAGAATATTTCTCAACCAAATCTTTCGGAATGTTTGCATGGAGGACAGTCCCTTGTTCAATGGTTATACATTACATACACTAACTACATAATGAAAAAACTATTAAACTGTGAAGTATACCATACCACAAACATTTATCTCCTTCTCATGAAAGATACACTCTTGGCACTTGATGTTTGATGCCCTCTTCTTTCAGGAACTTCATACGTACGTACAAGTCTAAGTTTGTTAGCATTTGTGTTGTTCATGGGAGCAATATCGCGACCAAGAATGTATAACAGAGTCATGGGTCTGTTCAATACTAACAACGAATGTTCAAAATAATTCATTAACCCCCGTTTAAATAAAATGAAACAAAAAATAAAAAATCAAATTCAATTCCCCAATGAAATGAAATTACTAATGAGCTAAGGGTCAAGAAAACCAAATTGCTACTACTAGAACTTGTTGTGCGGGGATTATTTTAGGGTGTGTTTAAGGCTGTTTTAAAAGAAACGAGAATGGAATTATTTGTTTCTGT